GTCTTTCTAATTGTAACCAGTGGGCAGCAGTGTCTTTCTAATTGTAACCAGTGGGCAGCAGCGTCTTTCTAATTGTAACCAGTGGGCAGCAGTGTCTTTCTAATTGTAACCAGTGGGCAGCAGTGTCTTTCTAATTGTAACCAGTGGGCAGCAGCGTCTTTCTAATTGTAACCAGTGGGCAGCAGTGTCTTTCTAATTGTAACCAGTGGGCAGCAGTGTCTTTCTAATTGTAACCAGTGGGCAGCAGCGTCTTTCTAATTGTAACCAGTGGGCAGCAGCGTCTTTCTAATTGTAACCAGTGGGCAGCAGTGTCTTTCTAATTGTAACCAGTGGGCAGCAGTGTCTTTCTAATTGTAACCAGTGGGCAGCAGTGTCTTTCTAATTGTAACCAGTGGGCAGCAGCGTCTTTCTAATTGTAACCAGTGGGCAGCAGTGTCTTTCTAATTGTAACCAGTGGGCAGCAGTGTCTTTCTAATTGTAACCAGTGGGCAGCAGTGTCTTTCTAATTGTAACCAGTGGGCAGCAGCGTCTTTCTAATTGTAACCAGTGGGCAGCAGTGTCCTTCTAATTGTAACCAGTGGGCAGCAGTGTCTTTCTAATTGTAACCAGTGGGCAGCAGCGTCTTTCTAATTGTAACCAGTGGGCAGCAGCGTCTTTCTAATTGTAACCAGTGGGCAGCAGTGTCTTTCTAATTGTAACCAGTGGGCAGCAGTGTCTTTCTAATTGTAACCAGTGGGCAGCAGCGTCTTTCTAATTGTAACCAGTGGGCAGCAGTGTCTTTCTAATTGTAACCAGTGGGCAGCAGTGTCTTTCTAATTGTAACCAGTGGGCAGCAGCGTCTTTCTAATTGTAACCAGTGGGCAGCAGCGTCTTTCTTATTGTAACCAGTGGGCAGCAGTGTCTTTCTAATTGTAACCAGTAATATGAACTATGAAACAATCTATCGAGAGGCCTATGTTCAGAAGTTGACTTTTTGATGGCTGTATATAACTTTTCTTCCATAGATTACATGATTATTTATTGTAAGTAATTTTTGATTTTACCATTGGCTCGGAAAAAAATCCTGTCTTGGATAGAATCAGCAGTAAATCCAACTGGACTTACAATACTGCATAAATCACTGATATTGCGGTAAGTTGGCAATGCAATCTTAGAGATATTTCTTGCATCAATACCGTCGAATCGAATATATACGCTGACGTGACGGCACTTTACGTTGCCAATATAACCGTAGACCAATAGCGACGGCAGTTGATGAACCGTCGACGGTGTTCGATTTTCGCAATACCTGCGACTATATACAAGAAAAGCTTATATTTTATAAGTTGAATAGATCATAAGTGAGCAATATACATTCGGAGATAATTAAAAAACCTTTTATCATTTAGCGTACTGTACTTTACTATATATTTTATGCATGGTTTACCTACACAATATAACTTTTAATACATGGATTATGTCAAACAATCGTAATGTTACGAGCTTGAGGTTCGTGACAATAAAAATTGCCGATAGAATTACCAAAATTAACTCTTTAATTCACTTTACACTAATTAAACTTAAAATACTAATAATTAATCACATTGATTCACTTTGTTCCGCTCCAAAGCTTCGCTTGTCTCGCCAAATTCAATACTTGCTGGATCGCATCTTGCAGTGCTTTTAAATACACATTATCACCGAAACATCCAGAATATTCAAGTAAATACGCGCGCCAATCGACTAGGTGCCGAAAGTTCGAGTGTCGGGCTTCTAGAAAGCTTAGTTCTTCATTTCGATACTAGATGTCGGTTGTGATTGTTGACGGTTGTGTCGGTTGAAAGATTAGTGATGTCATTTTCTGGAAAGCTCTCCTCGCTCCGTTACCCGTAGGGCATGGATACCGGTATACCGGTATACCGAAATACCGGTATACCGGTAAAATTTTCGGTACTTTTAAAACCGGTATTTGAGGATAAAATACCGATATTTCGGTATTTCATGATAAGTGATCTATTTTTGCAAGGTTGTTTAAAAACTACAGAACGCTCGATTTCTACAGTTCATACGTTCAGTTTTCATGTGATATCAATCACGAATAATCTGGATTGTAGAAAAATAAACTCAAAATGAACTACGCAAGACACTGTATGCATATCGTCGCTGATCTTTGCAGGCTACTTACCGACTGAAGACGTGCATTGAAAATACTCTAATAAACTTAAACTCTGCTGTCAAATTCTCCCAAGAAGAGTTTGAATTGCTGCATTCCATTCAAAAGAGCCCGAAAATAGTCAAGATGACAGTGAAAGCACATTGCCGACGAGATGCGACACTTAACTGCAGAAGCTGCCCTTAGATATATGCTACGAAAATTAAATAACCAAAAAAACAAGTTTATCTAAATCTCTGGCGGAAGCTCTAAGAAAGCGCATATCGGAAATACGACAAACTATGACTTCAATTTTACAGTATCTTCATAACCCGGAAGAATATTTCAAAGAAATTGCAGAGACACGCCGAGATAACCATCCAGTTTCCTAGAATGAGTTGTGATGAAATGATTACGTCAATTACTGAACATATTCATCGATTGCAAAAACGGACTCTCAACTTTCTACAAAACAGGAGTGCGATGAGCTCATCTACTGCCGCTTATGCTTCTGGTGAAAAGGAAATAAGTGAAGATGACACAGGTACTGTTCTGTGATGGGGAAGGAACTTAATAAAGCAATAGAAAAATCTATGACCAAAAAGCAAAACAGATCCCAGATCGGCGAGGAAAAAGAAGATAACATTCAAACATTAATTCGAATTGAAATGACATTGTATGAAAATGGAGATACGGGAGGTAGGTTTTCGGACGCAGCTTACAATTAATTCTTAAGTATTCCTCCCACGAGCGTTGAATCAGAAAAGGTCTTTTCAGCTGCAAGTTACATTTGTAAAAAAACAAGATCATCGCTCAACGACGCCAGTTTGGACGCGTTGTGCTTTCTTCGTTTGATTTTGCAACAAACGCTATTTGCCTGATTAAAAGACTTGAATACTTGAGTTAAATTAAGCCTGCGCCTACATTTTGATTTATTTTGGAATAATTACTTTCGATACTTTCATTTGCAATTTGCTTTTGTTTTAACAATAGTTTATTCTCGTAGTTTATACTGTGACTAAGAAAGATGTTTAAAATTGTTAAATGTTTTCTTATCATTAGATAGTAAGACTGATTTTATTCCCGATTGTGATATTTGTTCCAATGAAACAATATAAAAACAATTGTTGGATCAAATAACGTGTTTTCTTTTTTATTCTTAATTACCTTTATTTTATCTTATTTTGTGGACTCTAGGAAGTTGATAAATAGTTTCAGTGTTTCTGCCATATAGCGTAGGAAATTGCTTTAATTGCTCTCCACAAACAAGACTTACCAACCGTAATTACAACCGGTATCAATACCGGTATGAAAATCATTCCGGTATTCCATGCCCTAGTTACTCGACACAGATGGCGCTAGTGCCGGGTACATGACGTCAACTTAGGCGCGCAACAGTAGTATTATGATTGCAGCGTGAATGGGTTGATTTAACCTGGAAAGGACTTACTTTCCAAAATACCAGAGTAAAACATCAGGCCTTTACTTGTGAATTGCCGTTCTGTATGTGAAAACTGTTTAGATCATCAATCGATATGCGATACATTTTTTCGTCAGGTATACCTCAAAAATTGAAAACGATATTTTACAAACAGTGCGTGTTGTTAATGATGACTTATGTATCTGAGACGTGGTCTTTCACTGCTAGCCATATGAGGAAGCGCAAGGTCGCTCACCGAGCTATAGAGAAGGCTATGCGGGATTTTTCTGCGTCATAAACTTAGAAATGAGGTTATCCTTAGTAGAATCACAGTGACTGACATAGGCCAATAAATTAATAAGCTGAAATGGCAATGGGCCGGTCATATAGCTCGAAGAACCGACAACCAATAGGGATAAAAGGTTCTCAAGTGGCAGCCTCGTACCGGTAGGCGAAGTGTAGGGCGATCCTCACTAGATTGAATGATGACCTGGTAAGGCATGCGGGAAGTCGATGGATCGAGGTGGCTTGCGACCGTGCGTTGTGACATTCTTTGGGGGAGGCGTATGTTCAGCAGTGGACTTGTGAAATGCTGTAATGATGATGATAATATATAATATAATATAATATAATATAATATTCCACAACTACCACACAACGCCATCTAGTCCCAAGCTAAGCAGAGCTTGTGTTATGGGTACTAGACAACTGATAAACATACTTATATATTTCTAAATACATAAATATTATAGATAAATTACACCCAGACACAGAACAAATGATCGCGCTCATCGCACAAACATTTGTCCTTGGTGGGAATCGAACCCACGACCTCCGGCATAGCAGTCAGGGTCACTAACCACTAGACCAACAGGCCTGTCGAATGATGATTATAACATTGTCGCGCTAGCGAGCGAGAAGACGTAAATAGTGTACCTCTGTGTTCGAAAAATCATACTACTGTTAAAAGTGACGTTTACCAAAAACTTTATTGGAAAAAAGTGCCTTAACACCATCTAGTTTACTGTGTACAATATAATATTCTCAAATTATTAAGTGTTTGACCATAAAAACGTTAAAAAAGTGTTCATTGCAAACCCGGTTTATCCAATATCACCCTCACCCGGAAAAAGTTAGAAGTGTTCTATTCGTGTGTGTTGTTAGCAAACCCACATTATAGCTAACTATTCAAAAATCATTCATCGACAGTTGTTTGCGATTATTAAATTTTTTTCGCGATTGCGATTGCGATGCGATTATTAAATTCGCCCACTTACGTGCAAGCTTAGTTGGCGCAGCGGTTTTAGTAGCTGCGCCCTTGCTACGCATACGAAGGCCCTGGTTCTAATCCACACAGGGGACGGAACTAATCTTATCGTTGTAGCGGAAAAATATATTTATTTATTTAGTATAAAAAAGAGAAAAAAAATTAATAACTATATAAGCAAAATGAGTACGCAAAGAACACCGCCGTGTACAATATCTCAAAAAACTGAAAGTGACAGTGACGGGGGCCACCACACATCAGCGCCTGCTTCAAATAACGTAGCAAAAAGGCCTAGCAAACGCCCAGCCGTCTACTCTCCTCCAATTGGGAATTTACTTGAAGGCGCTAACGATGCTACAAACACAGCATTCCGCAACATAATTGAAGACGTAGTACAACGGGAACTGAGTAATTTACTGACTAAACTTAACATCTCAATGGGCACTTTGCTCAACACCCAACTTAAATCAATCAAAGATGAAATACAAGACGTAAAAGAGTCAATGTCATTTATGAGTAGTCAGTATGAGGAAATTAACAAGGAGCTTAAAGCATCCAAAAAATCAATACAGGAGTTACAAATAAAGAGTGATAAACTTCATCCCACAATAAACGATATAAATTTTCGTATAAACCAAATAGAACAAGCAGCAAGATCTAATAATCTTGAGATTCAATGCATGCCGGAAAAGAAAAAATGAAAGTTTAGTTGAATTAGTAACTCGGTTGGGCTCTATAATTAATTATAAAATATCCGAACAGAACATCCTCCACTGTGCACGTATTGCGAAAGTGAATCGCGAAAGCTCTCGACCTCGTTCAATAGTCGTTCAGCTCGACTCCACTCGTACCCGGGATCACATTCTGGCAGCAACAATAACTTTCAACGAGAGCAATCCTCAAAATAAATTGAATAGCACTCATTTCGGAATACCTGGAGCAAGAACGCCAATTTTTGTCTCAGAACATCTCTCACCTGCAAACAAGGCCTTACACGCTGCTACAACGAAAAAAGCAAACGAGAAAGGCTTCAAGTACGTCTGGGTCATGAATGGAAAAATTTTTGTCAGAAAAAACGATACAGCTGGTTATATTGTTATTAAAAATATGGACACCTTATCTAAATTAGAATAGTTAAATAGGTACTAAGTTAAATTTTATTTATTTTGTGTGCATGCATTGGTTTTTTTTTCTTTTTTCATTCGTAGAGCTTCAATTAAATATTTATTATCAGAATACTCGTGGACTGCGTACTAAAACGCATAATTTTTACCGTAATCTGTGCTGTAGCAAATATGATTCGAATAAATAGTGAATTATCATTTAGGGAACACATTCTCAATTGCTGCAAAAAGCGTATAGAAACTTAGGCTACATTCTTCGCACAGTTCACGGTTTTACTAACATTAATTTAATCGTTACTATGTATAATATACTGGTAAGAAGTAATCTGGAGTGTAACGCCGTAATATGGTCACCACATGAAAAAAGGTATAGCACAATGCTAGAACGGGTGCAAAATAAATTTATTAGATACCTATATATGCGCCATTATGGGGTATACCCTATGTACCCATTAATGTACCCAACCTTATTTATTCTGGGTATGGTTGGCTACAACGAGTTAAGGGTAAGACGAGACCTCGCCTTAGCCCTATATATTTTTAAAGTACTGAGGGGAAAAATATATAATAGTGACATATTGGGGCGGATTGGGTTTGTCCAGACGGGTACAGACGGCGCGGCCGCTCTCTTCGTTCCGCGCGCCCGACCAATTTAGTAAATAAATAGACTGGCTCTCCTTAAACAGGGGATTGTTTACAATTAGTTACAGTTAATTTCTACATTTTTTGTTATGCAAAAAAAGAACTACACTGTCGCATTAGGTTATTCCTGTCATGATAGTTGTTAGTTTCAATAAATAAAATAAAAATAAATGATTTAATTATTTTAACGGAGACATGGCTAGATAGGAGTGTATTCAGTACTGAACTTTTTGATGATAGATACACAGTTTTTCGCAGGGACAGGGAAACCACTGGTTTTCACTATGATAAGAGGGGAGGTGGTGTGCTGATTGCTGTTGCCAAAAAAATTTAATGCTAGACGCATAACTGAGTGGGAAAGTATATGCGAGGATTTGTGGGTCAAAATTAGCATAGACTCAAACCCCAACTATAATATCGTACTTTGCGCAGTATACCTACTACCCCCTGTTAATCATGTTATTCTAAACAGATTTACTGAAAATTGTAATAAAATTTTAGAGTATGTAGAAAGTAATGTATATACAATGATTGTAGGTGATTTTAATTTAAGCCAAATAGAATGGAGTGAAATAAATAATACATCCTCTGCCACTCAATCAATACTATGTCAGACACTAATTGATTTTGCTTGTATGAATAACTTTAAACAGTACAATGAAATTCCGAATTGTAAGGGTAAAGTCCTGGATCTAGTGTTTTTGGAGCAATCACATTTATTAGTTCAAGTAGACCATGCAACTGATGTTTTGTCTGCAATTGATGTGCTGCATCCCCCCTTAGAAATACTTTTAAAATCAAAAAAGTATTATAACTTAGCACAAAATTATAACTTCACTAGTCGAAACTTTTTAGGGCTCACTATGAAATGATTAACCGAAAACTGGTGGAAATCGACTGGCCCCAAGTTTTTTTCGGAATAAAAAAGGTAGACGACATGGTAACAATATTCTATGATAAACTTAATAAAATCATTAAAGAGTACGTTCCAATGGTAAAAAAACGAAACAAAAAAATTCCGAAATGGTTTAGCTCGTGTTTGATCAAGGCATTGCATGAAAAAAAATAAAATAAGACTTAGATACAAAAAACATAAAAATCCGTTAGATAAAATAGAATTGAATATTTGTAGAAAAAGATGTGAAAAACTATCGTTGGAAGCCTACGATTCCTATATAAAACGCACTGAAGAAAATATTGCCATTAATTCCAAATTCTTTTGGTCGTTTATCAAATCGAAACGTGGCAGTCTGAATTCATATCCGGCCGAAAAACACCTGACAAATGGTTCTGTAACAACGTCTGATGGTCAACATATTTGTGATCTTTTTGCATCGCACTTCTCCTCTGTCTACAGTGAACAGTCTAATCAATCTGGTCAACAGTCACAACCGATCACATATTGCAATGATTTTTTCAGTTCCATTAACCTGACAGAAGAAATGATTTACCAAAGTTTGACCAAGATGGATAAGTTGAAGGGAGCGGGATATGACGAGATTCCAGCAATTTTTTTTGGTTAATTGTGCATCAAATTTAGTCACTCCACTACATTATATATTTAATTTTTCTCACAAGTCTGGAGTTTTCCCCGAAGTCTGGAAGGTGGCTAAAGTTGTGCCAATTTATAAATCTGGCGGTGAAAATATAATAGGAAACTACCGACCAATTTCAATCCTCCCTTAAATGGGTAAAGTCATGGAGTCATTGATTACTCTCCTAATTCAAAATTATTTCAAACAATTTTTAACAGACCAACAACACGGATTTACGCGGGGTAGATCGACATCGACAAACTTAGTGTGCTTCACCGAAGACCCGATTAAGTCTATGGACAAGAACAAACAGATTGATGTTATTTACACGGATTTTAGCAAGGCGTTTGATAAAGTATCTCATTGCCTCCTTCTTTGTAAGCTTTCAGCCTTTGGTGTGCATGGTTCCTTATTGAAATGGTTCAGTTCTTACCTAACTCACAGATCTTTTTTCGTTGTAGTTAATGGTTATTCATCTAAAACCCATAAAATATCATCAGGAGTGCCACAAGGCTCGCACCTCGGTCCTGTTTTGTTTAACATCTTCGTCAATGATGTCTCTTTTAATCTTAATAATGTTAAGTACTTTTTTATATGCTGACGACCTTAAACTTTTACGTGAAATCGATTCCATGGATGATGGGAATCTCCTGCAAGCAGACTTAGATAAGTTGACAAGGTGGTGTCACGAAAACAATATGGTCCTCAACGCGAAAAAGTGTACACATATAAAATTTACACGTAAACAAAATATTACAAATTCGTCATACCAAATCAATGGTATCAAATTACGAGAAGTTGACAGTGTTCGTGATTTGGGCGTTCTGCTAGATAACAAGCTTACATTTATAACACATTTCGACCATATTATAAAAAAAGCTTCCGGAATGCTCGGTTTCATTATACGCAATACAAAGATTTTCAAGACCGTTAAGACCAAGATGATTCTTTATAACAGTTTTGTGCGTAGCATTATGGAATACTGCAGCGTTGTTTGAAGGCTCCATTTCGCAACAAATACGTTACGCTTGGAAAGGGTTCAGAAAAGGTTTCTATGGCACGTAGCGTTCTCTGTAGATAAAGCTCGATCGTTAAAATCGTACAAAAGTAGGCTTCTCACTTTTAAGTTATTACCACTTGAAGCAAGAAGTGACATTTCGGATTTGATGTTTGTATACAAGCTTTTCCATAATAAGATAGACTGTCCTCCTTTGCTAAATTCCTTTTCCTTCAGAATACCTTCTCGGCTTCTGAGAATGCCTATTCAGCCTATGAACCCACCAATGCGTAGGACTAAACTTGGCCATTTCTCTCCTGTTCCTAGATTGAGTAGACTTTACAATGAATGCAGCACATTGGTAGATCTTAATTTTGATTCTTCTGAACATTTTCGTAAACAGATCAGGGACTTTGTCACCAAAAAATATCTTCTGTAATTTATTAAAAAATAACTTAAAATAGGTTTAATGATTGTTCTTTCACATAGAGGTAACTTTATGATAACTATACTTTTTTATTTCATTATTAAACGCATGATGTGTTCCCCTATAAGTAGTTATGCACTTAGCTTAAGACATGTTGGAACTTGTATTTTTTTTATTCAAATGTATTGTGTTATAACTGTTGGAGAACCTAATAAATAAATAAAAAATAAAATGATTATTGTGGTGGTGAGAATGTATTTCAAGAACGGCATACCGTCTTAATGAGACTAAATAAGACTAGCAACCAACGTGGGACTGGATTATAGTGCTCAAGTGTGCGTGCAAGCACAGGTGCACGCACACATGAGCACTATAAAAATACGAGAAAAATTAAAGTACTAGAGTTATTAGATGATATTTCAAACAAATTTCGATAGATCTCGCTCAGACAAGAGCCATTGTCAAAGGACTTCTGGTACTATGATCACGAATTAGGCTACCTTATAATTACGGAAAATCCGTGCACTAATACAGAGAGAGTTATAAAGAAAAATAATAAAATATGTGAATCTTTATTGATTCGATTTTAATCAGGCAAAATAATATACAAAACAGTTAAAACGTAGAGCTTGATTGGGAAATCATTACGTCACTGTCACAAATGTTTGATTAACGATAAAACAATAATTGAACTAAAGAAATACGCAGACAGAACAAATAGTACGTGCTAGTCTCTACCAATAACCAATCACACATTGGTTGAATCCGTGCAATCGCTCACGTCAGTCGGATTTACTGCTCTCGATGATGCCTTCACTTGCAAACATACACTTTGTTAAACTTAATTAAGGAACTCGAAAGTTCAAAGCATATTTTTTTATTTTGATTAATATTACCCTTCTCTTTCTCTACCTCTACCTCTTTTCCTTTTTGTATGAAGATTATCTGCAACATATCGCTTTCATAGCAATAAGGC